TAATCAAATTGCGATTTCAATAATCATGTATTATGTAACTAACGCGTAATTATTCCTGCAGAGAAGTTTCAAAGTCTAGAGATTGCGCTTTTATTATGTCGGCCAAAACCTCTTCTCGGTTTTTATTTATGCAAGTGATTATTTTCAACACTCAATTGAGATATTCCAAGCTCTTCTGTGATATCTCGAGTGGTTTGTTGCGGATTATTATCGATCGAGGCCTTGATTCGATCATCATCCGCTGCACTTGGCTTACCAAAACTTTTCTTCGACAAAGAAATTTTCATCATGGAATTTTGCAAACTAAAACTGCCGAAAAATATGCGATCATTCACATTACCTTCACTGTACAGCATGCATCTATCTTTTTTACATAGCGTTTTTGCTTTCATAATAGTAATAGCACAACATATTGAAAATGTGTCTTCTTTTGGATCTTCCATTTTTTTATCCTTTATAACAAGCGGTAATTAAACTCTATTAATTTTGATACTTGTTTGTTAAAGACTCATTGATATGTAAAAGCCATTAAGTTATGAATTTATTTGATAAAACAAAGAAAAGTTCATAATCATCCACTGACAAAAACGAAAACGAAATTTTTTGGCCAATGAAAGCTCTCTCCGAGAAGTTTACCGTGTTTATTCCAAAGAAAAAAAAAGGAGCCAGCGTGGATTGCGATGGACAAACGGGTCATGGAGAAAGTTATCACGAATCTCACGTAATCGGCCCTCGGCCGATCTTTAACAACCGCGTGATCGTCCGTGATTTCTTTACCTTCTCGATCGTTATCGCGACATGGCCGAGCGGCGGCGCACAATGCCGCGCGGATTAAAGGATTCTCCACACCGGACACGCTAGTGCCGCGCTTTAATTATTGAGTACCGCGAACGATACCGCGCGCACTCCGTTTACGAGTGCCCACAATTTCGTTACGAGCTGTAAGCCAAATAGTCGAGTGCGAGATAGTCGAGCCGCGACAAAGATACAAATCCTATTTCTCTACAGATCCCCGAGAAGTCGTAGGAATTCAGTTTATGTCGTAAGTGTAAAAATTGAAATACGATTATAGAGATAATAGAATCGACAAAACTTTCTTACTTGAATAGAATCAATGTCGATAAAATAATGTATTATATGTATAATTAACCCCCAACTACAGCTATGGAAACTTAATATTTTTTTAAGTGCCTTGTTTGAAGAGAGAGAGAGTTAACGCAAATGAACCCTTCACCTTATAGCGAATAAAGTTCAAACATTTTATTTACCTACAATTTAGAACCTCATTTAGTAATCATATAGATTGTACAATCACCCAAAAATGTTCGCACCTGGTCCAAATAATTTATTGCTGTAGTTAAAATAATGCCAATATAAAAAAAATTCGTGACACGTGAAATGATTTATTTTCTTGTATTATTTCAATTGCATTATTTCGATTAAAGTAAAAAAAAAATATATATATATAAATCATATATGACAAACGACAACTGGGATTCAATGATCGCTTCTATTATACATTACATCGGGTAGTAGATTTTTTTTTATATATCGACGATTGGTCGTTTGCGACCGGCATGAAAGTTAAAAACACTATTGTACTGGCGGCGATAAAAACGTACAACTCTGAGCAACGTTACGACGGTGTCCTAATATTCTGCATACTTACGATACGACCGATCGTGCCTTTATTAGCGGCGTGACGACGATGCGGACTTCGTAAAATGCACGCGTCGTAAAGAGCCTTATCTCGCGAAGCACGATAATTATACGGCGAGAGCAACAACTTAAGTGGCCCGCGGCAGTAGTTAAGAACGTGCGCGTGTAAAAATTTTGTTTGAACAACGGATTATTAAGTAAGAAATTCCGCCTACTCCATGGATCGATATAGGCATAAAATTCTGTTTAAACACACGGAAAGAACGATTTTGCTGAAGTATCAGCAAAAATTTAGCTAGACGCAGGTCTGAAAATAATTTTGTTGGACCATCAAAATAATTACGTAGGTAATTCAAACACATAATGAGCAATGCTGTGCAAAAAATTTTAATATTCTAGCAACCAGTTTGAGCGTCCTACGCAATTATTTTGATAGTTTAACAAAATTATTTTCAGATCCGTATCTAGCTAAATTTTTAGACATTCCAACAGTACCCTACTTTCTGTGCAGTGAATTTATAATTACAAAATCTCGTTTAAATAAAACTTTCGATAACTATAATCATCTATTGTACTTAGGTTCACTTCTATTAATGCAGATTAGTATTTTTTAATCTCGGTTCAACTTACGTCTCGTCTTCTTCTATTTCTATAGGGATTAAAAAAAGATGAAGATAAATTAAACTAAAAATTAATCTAAGTTGGTAGAAATGAATTCTAACTCTATCTTGAGAATCAGGATTGTTATCAATCATTATCTGAATCAGAATTGTTATCGATTTGAAAGAAGCAAACGTTCAAAAAATATACTTCTGAAAAATCCAAACTTTCGTTTTTTAGCGTCTGTCCGAAATTTAACCTCGATGGTACGGCTAATGTCTCGGTACGAGAAGCTCGCAAAGAAAAAGGGCCACAATTTACGTGATATGTAAAGATTCCACGAATTCGTACACGACAAAGAAAACGGGGACGAGCGAGGAACAGTTTGTCGATCGTCTTCGACGATTTTACGAGGCGTGTACGACAATTACTTCTAACATCGTTAACCTGCTCCTCCTTCTCGCCGTTTCTCGATTATCTTCATCGTCGACTCTTAGCAATAACGCAAGTTAAAGCGCCCGGTACAATTAATTTAGTCACTTGATAATATTCCAAACCCGGAAGTCGTATCGTCGCGAGATTTAAAGGAACTTATTACCGTAAAATTCACCGTTCTTTGATCAATAAGTAAAACTGCGTAGTTAATAAAAACTTTGCTATCTATTTTAGGCGTATCTTAAATGAAAATACGCTCAATGATTATTGATAATATAACCAATATTGAGAAAATAACATAATTAATATATAATTAATATAATTTTTTTATTTTAACTTAATAAACATAACTAATAAAATTATGTTATTTTCTTGACATTTTATTACCTATAATCGCTGAGCGTATTGCAAATTTTTAATTAATATAATTATGATAAATAAAAAAATTAATATAACATTCGACAGATTCTTTAATCATGGACATAATATAAAAAAAAAAGTATTCTCTTCCGGACTTGAATCATTATTAAGCGATTAAATTAACTGTATGAAATTTTGGTGTAAAGAATTAATTATATAGACATTTATTATGAAAAATTGAGAAATTTTGAGAGCAGATGGCATCGGTTTTCCGTTTAAGGGTAATCAATTCTGAACTGACTGAGGACAACGTCGGAAGTTTGCCCGTTCCTAGATTATCTAAGGCACTAATTAGGATTATGTGACGATAAATGCGATAATACGGAGACCGGGTTATCTCTCCAACAATCTATTAAACATCTCGCGACGAAACAAAAACGAAAATTTGAAAAAAAATTGAAGCACGTAATCGTTCAGATTTCTACTAAGGCATTTATACACTGAAAAAAGTCTAGATAATAATAATCAAGTCGAAATAGTAGTTACTAAAGCTTCGGTAAAATAACATTAAGTGAATTAGATAGGGAAGTGTTTAATCACAAATAAGAGAGGAGAATGCCATTTTTAATCAAAGCGGATTTTTTTTTTAGTAATACTTATATATGTAAATATAAAAATACGATTATCATTTTTGTCCTAAAATGAGATAATAATCTCACAATTAAATTAACCAATTGTCGATAACAATGCCTACTAGCATCTTAAAAACCTGTAAAAGAATAACTTACTGTAAAAAATTTCTGAAAAATAATAATTTCCATCAATATTTAATATAACCGAAACCAACTATAAACGTTAATTTCTTACTTAGTTTTCTAAATATTATCTTACGTATCTAATTTCACCGAACAATTAGATATATTATTATTGTGTTTACTAAATATTATATTATAATACTAAATAAAACATATTTAGTAGCTATTACCGGACTTGTTTTCAGTTTACGATTGTTTTGTCGTGTCATTTTCGTGCTAAGCCTTAAACACAATGAAAAGCACAGACAATATTATTGTAGAAAAAGGGAATAAGAAATTTTTCTCAGAAACCGTGTATAGCTAGAATACACGATTTCTGATAGGTAGAAATCTTTTATTCTCAGTTGCTATTGCCTGTGCTTCTCATTGTGTTTAAGGCTTTACAGCGCGTTAATCACTTCCGTATATCTTCCCAATAATCCATTTAAGCACGTCGCGATAGAACACGATAGACACCCGTGGGGTTGGTAAACGAGGAACAAAGATTTGGAGCAGCGGACTCCAGGGTCTGTTGTTTGAAACTCGATTAACGAGCCTCGGAGTTCGGACGCGACGGCAACATTTTCTCGGAAGAGAACGCGCGCCTTATCGATCAAGAAGCGGAGCGGAGGGAATTAAGCCTTGATCGGTGGGGAGGAAGGGATTATAGTTTTTGCGGGATGACTCGCCGCATGCCCGATCCTTCCCTCGTTTCGCGAAAGACGATCGTGTGCCGTAATTATTAGTTCCGAACCGGCGCGGGAGATTAACGAGATGGATTTTAACGCGACGCGTCCGTGCAATCGGCACGGAGTAAAAAAAGAAAAAGGAGAGAGAGAGAGAGAGAGAGAGAGAGAGAGAGAGAGAGAGAGAGAGACAGAGAGAGAAACGTTTCCTCTCGTTCGCATCGCGAAAAGTAATATAATCGTCGTGTACTATCGACGCATCGTCAATATTTCGCGCGAGGCAGCGCGTCACGCTCCGAAGCTGGCCGCATAACTAACGAGGACACGTGACTTCGCGCGCCGCTAACTATCGCAACGAACTGAAGTTGGCACGACCGCTTCGACTCGGAGATTCTCGCGGCGCTCTCCGAAAAATTCAAGATTCGAAAAAGTCAACGGTTGAAACGCACGTATGATACATACATACCTCGTAAGATCCATCGGAAATGACGATTCCTCAAAGATCGACTCGCAGAATGATCGTCAACTCCTGAGATCCGTCCGACTCTCGCGCCTCCGTCCTTAATCCGTCTTGGCACTGCGGCGAAAAAGCACTCGCGTTTCCTGCTGCACACTCTCCTCCCGCATCTCTTTTTCCTCTACTCGTATATCCCTCTCTCTTTCTCTCTCTCTCTCTCTCTCTTCCTCTCCCTCTTTCTCTCTCGCTCGCTCCGTCTCGCACTGACACTTTCGTAGAAAGACGCGTGCACAAAGTCAAACACAGGTCAGACGTGTGCGTGTATGTATGGCGCACAGCCGCGAGTGCGATCGGAGTCGGACACCGGGGAGGATGAGCGAATGTCACGACCGTACCGCGCAACGTACGACGCTCGACTGCGAGCCGGGTAGTACCGAAGTGGATGACGGGAACGTGTGAACGCCG